TCATCGTGCCGCTTGAATTCGCTCGGGCCCGGGACTCCTCCATCGTGAAAGTCGGAAAGATTCCCTCCTGGAAATACGTGCGCCGAGGGGAATGACGAAGACGTCTGTACCCGATGTAGCAGTAAGACTTGATTCTCGGGAGATAGGAGAACGACGCTCGCGCTCGGCCGTGGTTCTCCTGATTTCTTCTCCTTTGATGGTCCTGCCGACGTATGCGCCCTCCTCGACATTATAAGAGTTTTTTTGGGGGAGACAAGTCTTCTTCTCGATCCTCTAAAGCGGTGTCCAGCACCTTGTATTCCTTTGCCTTGTGTTGATATATCCCTGGTCGCTCGGATTAGGTGAGATTGGATAAATCGGAAACTTCCGATTGAGCAAAAAATGACCCGAAGCGGAGGAAGATTTATGTGACTGGTAAGAATTGTCCGTCTCGACAGAATAAACAAATGCAAAGCACCTGAGAACATCTCCGTATCTCTATTCGAAGAGTGTGGACGGAGATGAGCGGGTAGGTTGAACAGGGCTTATGGTCCAGAGTGTATGGTCCAGAGTGATAAACCTGTTGCACAATAGTCGTAGATTAGCCGGCTAATTACATAGCCCTAAGCTACAGCTTAGCCCTGGATCAAAGTTTTCTCCCTCCTACACACTTGAATCAACCATCTACTGATCCATCAAAATACGGCCTTTTGGCGCTCCATTAATCAGATCTTTTACTGCGTGTAGCGTGACAAAACCAAGTTGAGACGTGATGCCGAGGTCCAACGTTGTCGATCTAATGCGGGTCAATTACAGATGCCCCATGTGTAATCTAGATCTTCCCTCAACAAGACGATTTTTTCCTGATCCCTACGCCGAGTACGAAATAATCACATCGACGTCTTGATTCACTTCAATTGACCGGTAATACATTTCAGAGTATTCCAACCGCATGCATAGATTAATTGAGTCTTATTATCGCGCCTATGGGCGACGCAGTGTACCTAAGGTACTCCGCACCACCCAGCCGTCGACGACCCTAAGAGTTTACTCACTCAGTAGAATGGGATATCAGAAAGTCAGCGAGGATGCCAGCAGCATCTCATGACTTGAGAACCTATTTTCTCTGCAGCTTAGAGCCCAGCCCAGCGTCAGTGAAGACTAAGGAATATTAGGTACGCGTAAGCGGAGGGAAGCTCCAGTCCGCACCAAACAGGCTAACCGCGGGGCGCCCGACGCCCCGTATTCTCGACTTCCTTGCTTTCAGACGCCTTCGCCCTCTACCTACCCATCTCAAGACTCACTTCTCGATCAAATAGTCCTGTTTTAATTTGTACACAGAACTCGAAGCGTCTCCACCCGTTTCCTTGGTTTCTCCGAGAGCTTAAGAGACATGACAGCGTTACCGAACCTAAATCTCAGTTTCTTGAGACAAAGTACTCATATTGGATTGAATCTTCGATCAAATAATAGCTACAAGCTGGGGCTTGAGTATTTCACAGTTGGGGCTTTCAATCTGTGACTCTAAGAAGTCGGCATTTGGTTCCTCTGCGACGAGAACTGCATTTGCGATGAACAACAGGAGGGTTTGCTAGGTAGCAAGAAAGGCATGCAGCGAAGCTCTCTTCCTACACTTTAATCCACTGTACTGACTTGGGATTTAGTTATTTGCATTTGTACCGGTTCTCTGTGCTTGCTTGAATTCCAGTGCACTGTAACGATTTGTGTACAAAATTAAGATGAAAATGCTCGACCTGTCCGACCGAAGATTTCAACTGTATAACGTATAACGTTACTTGGGCCCCGGAGCGAGGTCTTCCTCTCGGCCTCCGCCTCGCTAGAACCAACATAGGAATCATGGTCCCTTGTTAGCTACATGTGTGCGTAGGTGCTTCAAGGCTTATCACGCCCAATACCGACCTTGTACGTCCTGAGCGCACGATCCCTACTCTCCTTATGATCCACGATCGGCTCGGGGTATCCCGCCTTCTTGGCCAGCGGCGCACCACCCCTATGATATGGATCGTGGATAGCCTTGCCCTTGACGCCGCGTAGCTCAGGGACCCACTTGCGGATGTAGTTCCCATCGGGATCGAATTTTTCGCTCTGCAGCAGGGGGTTAAAGATGCGGAAGTAGGGCTGGGGGTCGACGCCGACGGAGGCGCTGAAGCCCCAGCCGCCGTTGTTGGACGCGAAATCCCCATCTATCAGGTGCTCCATGAAGAACCGCTCGCCCATGCGCCAGTCTAGCAGCAGATCCTTGCACAGGAATGAGGCCACGATCATCCGGCACCGATTGTGCATCCAGCCTATGCTGCGAATCTGCCGCATTGCCGCGTCAACGATAGGGACCCCCGTGCGGCCCTCGCACCAGGCGTCGAAGTGGGCTGAGTTGTAGGACCATTCGATGTTTGAGTATTCGGGTTTGAACGGCTTGTTCATGCTGCAGTTGTTAGCAAGGCCCTGCCGTGCAGAATTGTGAGAGAGGCCTAAGATTTACCAGGTATAAGGCCAGTGAACCAGCACATGCTTGTAAAAGTCACGCCACGCCACCTCGGAAATCCAGGACTGGATGCCCTCGATACCGGCGTTCAACTTCTTCGTATTGTTCCTGTCTCTCGCGGTCCGTACTGCCGTCCTTGCGCTCAATGTCCCTGCTGCCAAGTGGACCGATATCGACGACGTCGCAGCCTCGGAGGGGAAGTTGCGTCGTTTGCTGTATTGGCCAATCTTCTCATCACAGAACTTATCCAGCCTGTCCATGGCTTCACGTTCACCCGCTGGCCAGGTGGCCTGGAATCTCTTCCCGTCCTCATCGGACAGACGCTTGTTTCCCGGTGCATCGGGTATCTCGCAGTCGAATAGGGCAGCCACCTTTTCTCGAGCTGCAGGAGGATTCTTCGCCGGCGGATCGAAGAGGCTAATAAGCTCCAAATTATCGTGGACGTGCGCGACCCAAGCCCGGAACCAAGGCGAATAGACCGAGTACTGCTTCCCGGCACCTGTATGTAGAGCGCCTGGCGGAACTACACATGTGTCGTGGAATACTTCCATGGCCAGTCCTTTGTCGGCGCACATTCTCACCATCTTTGCCTCCCTCCTCAGCTCATCGACCTCGTACTCAATGTTGGCATATAGATGACTCGCCCCCCACTCCTCCATGAATTCCAAAATACGCTCGGGTATCTCTCTTCGCTTTTCGACCGTCTCTACATACAGAGGAATATCGAGGGCGGCCAGATCTTCCTTCAACGCTCGCAGGGTCCGTATCATGAAGTCAACACGCGGAGGTGAGGTGAGATGCGCCTCGAAGTCCTCGGGACTTATCACGTATATGCAAATCAAGGGGACCCCAGCGCTTTGGGCTTGCTGGCCGGCTTCCCACAAGGCTCGATTGTCGGTCGTCCGCAGATCCATCTTGAACCAGTGGACCACGGATTCCTTCACAGCTACGCCCCTACGCATCGACGCTGTTTCCTCCTGGGCTGCTTCGAGTTGCTCGATTGGCCGAGGTATTTCGTTGCTGTTGTAGGCTTGCGCACGCGCGTTACTCATCTCAGGAGGATAATACCTGCGCAGGACGATGCCGTGCTCTTCGGCCTCGGTTGCGAGGTGGTGGGGCTCGCGCAACGCATCCGAACCCCCATTTTCATGCTTATATCTTTTACCTGGCACTTCATCGATGTCATCGTCGCTCGAGACTCTTTCTTTGACCTTTCTCTTAAATGGCATGATGGAGCTGCTTTTTACACAGGTTTGCAACCGTGTTGAAGCGAAACTCGTGTGTTTGAACGCTTGCTTCGTGTGCAAGGATTGCACGGCAGGAAACGATTGGCCAAGAGAGCGACGCGCGAATGCCGTAAGACACAACTGGAAGTATGGAGCATAGATGAAGCTGGGCATCAAATCCGTACCTACGCAATAGGAAATCTGGGTAAGGTATGTATGTACGTCGTGAAGAAAACCGCGACTTGGGGTTTCAAAAAAGAGAAATCAATTGTTTACATTTTCTTTTCATAAGCTACCCCCTTGATTCAATCCCCCCTCGGCATGTCTCATGCGTCATCGATGTGCTCAGATCGGGTCAAGGGCTGATCGATCTAGATCCCGAGACAGTGGCTGAGCTAGCGGGATCGTCAGCCCTACGAGCCGCAGATGGAACCCTAGGCCGCCTAGAGAGCCTAAACCAACGACAATGGTCCACTTGATCTCACTTACACGACTCCGACAGGTTGCTGCCGACAGGATCCATGCTATCAATGTAAGAGAATGCGCGTCGGACTCACAGTATATGTTGCTGTGAACTGAGCCATATTATTGGCCTATCGTGGTACCTTGTAGTCAAGTTGTACCCAGCTGATGAGGAAATCACAATTAAAGTAATCCGCGCATATTGTGGAAATATCTGAGTAGCGCACACAGTCGATATCGAGCCCCGATCTCAGGTTATCTTGTAATACTTGGGTACCTACCAAATGAGTACATAGAAAGCCACCGATTACTGTCCTAATTGCCTGCCTTAGTACTAAGGCCGCCAACATAGTCAGTCACATATCACCCGAGCCATACCTCGAGAAACAGAAATCTCGATAAACAGATCTTTTATCTCGTCTCCATGGTTCCTTGCAGTATACTGGCGGGCTCGGTATGGAATAAGAACGAACGAATATTGCTCGTACAAATCCATAGTCGACGGTTTAGGTCCTAGCATGAAAATGCTTTCGTATCGCTTCTCCTATGCGCAGCAAAGTCGAAAGGAAAGAATGCAGTAATCAATTACCTAAAGAGAGGAAAGGGGGTAGGAAAGTACTCGTGATAATTAGATGTACGTAGATTAAGGAAGTAACAAAAGAAAAATAAAAATAAAAATAATCAACAAAAAAAGAAGCCCCCAGAACCCTCAATTCCCCAGATCCCCTCGAGGTAGGTCAGAAGGACGCTGGACAAATACAGACTACGTATAGCCTAAGCTCACAAACGGGTTATCCGACCATACCCAACAGCTTCCAAATTGGAAGTAGCGCACACAGTGGGATTTGAACCCACGACTTTTGGCAAGTTACTCTGGCTGTCATACCACTTGACCAAATGCCCCTAAACAGGATGAGCTGTTGAAAATTGGTTCGCCAATTTGACATTATATGCTTAGTTTGCACTGTTCCAGATTTGTGCAAAAGCGAGTACCTAGGTACCAACACCAGAACATTGAATGACGGGGATGTTTGTAAGTACGTAGGTACATACCCCTGATATCGACCTCTTATAAAATTGATGTTACTCAACACAATCCTAGGTACATACACCTACCTACAGAGAGGTATGCAGTTACTTGAATTATCTGCAGCTCCCTTTCTGAGAGTTGGAATCATTTCCAATCGTTGTAACTCAAGTGATCACATACTGAACATTATAGTATCGCGTTCACGTTGGGAATGATCACAAGAGTAAGCTACATAGAACGCAATGATTAATCCCATTTAGTATTCGTGCAATGTCATCGCAAGTCCTACAAAATCTTGCCCTTCCTACTTTCTAGTCGAGGTCCATCATGTCCCCAATATCCATATTCTCGATACCCTTCCGGACCTCCTCTTCCAAATCCTCCATCATCTTGTCCCCGCCTCCCGCATCCTCGTCGTCGTACCATGCCCCAGCTAGCTCTCCATAAATCTCGAAGTCGGCATCCCTCCACCTGGATCCGACGCTTTCCAGTAAAATATCAATTACTTTTGCTGTATTTGAATGCTCGCCAATTTCGTAGGGAGGTCTCGGGTCTCTCTTCCAGGCTTTACGTGCTTCTACGAGACAGTAGCAGAACTGGATAAAGACAGATTCCCCCACCTGCATTGCCCAGGGGGTAGCGTCGCGCAGGGCGCTTAGGAAGTCTATGATATCGTCACCTTCGCCGCACAAGTAGGCGAAGGCGTGGGGTTCCGTGGCGGCCATTAAGGTGTCGGCCAGTACTTGGTCGACGGTCGTTCTTGTCTCTCGGTTCGGGTGGTGGCGAGGTTCGGCAAATCCAGTCTGCTCGAGTGCAGCCATGATGCTGGCGTCTCTGCGCTGACGACCGAGGAGATAGTCGAGGGGTGGGTACGCCATCCCGGCTCGGGGGACGAAGTCGACAAGCCGATTATGTTTGTATTGTGACATGATATCAATCGAAGAGATATAGGCGGTTACTAGGAGTTATCAGTGTTTTATTAGCGGAGGGCTGGAAAGGATCCGAGGTCACAATTCAATTGTGAATGAAGAAGTGTTCTTACCTGGATGAGGTAGGTACCTAGGCTTGATACTAGGTATGAATATGGGCGATTGATGAGCTAGTTGGCTGCATAAGACAGAGACTCAAAAGGATCCTAGGCGACAGTTGGATTGTGAAGTCATAACTGTTTGGATGGCAGAGAAAGAAGTGTTTGGATTGTGAAGAAAGGAATGTTCAGACTTGTTAGGTAGACTGATGACAAAAGATGGCAATTATTGTTTAACAGGTCAGTCAACTTTAAGTGGGCTATTCTGGGAGTCGTTGGTTGAACACCTTAGATTATTATCCCGCAGGGCGGAGTTCAGGTTGAATGTACACAGGCATTGGAAACTGTCAAATAAAAAATATTGGCTTGCTTCATCGTTAGCCTTGAGTACGTTACGTGTAATCTTGACAATGTTTCGGAAGAAGGCGCACCTTTGATATGGCCGTAGCAACATGAGGCACCATCGCGGGTTATATATTAAGTACATACGTAGGTACCGAAGGAGTTTCCTGAGGTGTTGCACTGCTGCTATTGTAGTAGACGCTCTATTTATTGTGCTGGTTTCCCTGTCAATGTTTATGAATCAAAACGAAGCCGGACGAAAATAACTATCGTCTCTCGTGAATATCCCATTGAAGGATGAATCTACCTCGGCTGTATTTCTTCTTGGCGTTCTTTAGCTCTAAGCTCCTATGCAAAAGAATGACGGAGCCAGAACTTGAATTGGTTCCTGATGGAAAATATGGAAGCTTGTCCTAATATACCGAACAAGAAACATAACGACAATCTAGGATTTAACCTTTACATGGAGTTGGACGTCTGAAAATGTACGCAGATACAATACCTGTCGTACAGGTGTGACTCCACACGGGCAAGTAAGTAATGTGCAAGGGGACTTCCGCCATGGCTTTAGATAGTGAGGATTCATGAATGACTGCGAGACATAATAAAAATTGACTGGTTAATGGCTTTATTTATATAAAATTTTCTTGCTACGTCACTACGATATATTTCGAAGCCCAGAAGGTATCTGCGTGGTCAGACGCGTAGATCGAGAACTTGCCCAATAGCAGAGCAGCAGTCTGACATTCAAGACTGGGCGCTCGGAGAGAAAATGAAAAGTTTTGGTATCGACTTAGGTACATATTTTTATTGGTAGCAATATTCATTTAAGCTTATCTTGGACATTGCTGTCGGGCCGGCAACCAGGTATGGCCTGGTCGTCGCCCACCTTAGGCGGGAGGTACAGAGGTACCTACCTACCTGCCTCAGGTAACTGAACATATAAGGTCAAATTGTCCACCCTAATTTCAATCCAGCTAATGGGTTGCTTTGGTCAGATGGTTATGACTGGCACCTCTCACTACGAGGTGGTGGGTTCGAATCCCACTGTGTGCGCTACTTCCAATTTGGAAGCTGTTGGGTATGGTCAGATAACCCGTTTGTGAGCTTAGGCTATACGTAGTCTGTATTTGTCCAGCGTCCTTCTGACCTACCTCGAGGGGATCTGGGGAATTGAGGGTTCTGGGGGCTTCTTTTTTTGTTGATTTTTTTTTAATGATCTATGCATATAGTATAATTGCGATCATGACTGAGCATCATTTGAGGAATGTTTCAACCACTACAAAATATCGCAGTTCAAATTCAGCAGCATTCACATTCACCACAGCAAGTTACCCGGGTTGCATCGTAGACTATCGACGAAGCATTGCCTCTTGAATGTACAGCGGTCAATCCATCGATGAAAGAAGGATCATAATAGGCATTCTGCTTTTCTTAAGGATGTACGCATCTTTCTTTGTCATCACGTTGCAGAATATATGTTGATACCATAACTGTTCCCGCTGGTTCCTCCAATTGGTGTCTAGCGTATCGAAGAACTGATCACCTCTGCAAGAGACGTAGCAAACCATGATACAATAGAGCAAATGACCAATATACTGCGTGCTGTGACTGGGGAAATATCCGCGAAGATGGACTTGTAGTAAACTTTGAAAACTCTTGAGGAGATTATGAGCAAGCAGTAAGCTTCGTCTTTTGGATAGCCACCGTCTTCCAACATGAAACACACATTTCTCCCATTGTATTCAAGCTCAAGGGATTGAATCGCTAAATACCCATATGTAACATGTTACAACATATAGACACCTCACACGTTGTACTAAGGAAGATAACGCCACCCAGAATGTGTATGTATTTTTCCCCCTCAATTCGAAATATAGGGGTCCCTCCTCTTTCACTCCTAAAGTCGGTGGGTTTATGGCTATGACGGTGGCCAAGTGTTGTTGATATCGGATGGGTCCCGGAGAGGTGCCCAAGCCTGCGCGCGGGGATGAATACGAACACGAATCGGAACTACAGGAACTATTGCTGGTCCAATACCCTGGCGATTTCGCCCTACAGATCGTAGAGGGACTTCAAACATGCCTCGCTTATCTTTATCATGTTGTTGACGAAGCGGATCTGATCTAGAGCTTCGCGGTGAAGGCGGCTGCGTTATGACTGTCAACGGCTTGCTTGACGGCTCGATTAGACTTCTTTTGGGGAAAGGCGAGGATCTTACACTTAAGTATGCAAGGAATCTAGGGCTGGGATGTCGTTCTACTGTCGGTAATCGAGGAGATATGTCTTGGAAAGCCGAAAGCGGTCATTTTCGCGGGCCACAAAAGCTCCCAAGTGTTTTCATTGTGGCTATCGTAGAGGCGATCGAAAGGAAAGTCGTGAATGTCGCGGTAGAAGACGAAGGGGAGGCTAGGATATGGGTCTTGGTCGAAACAGTGATCGTGTTGGTAAATGAGGGTTTTGCGAAGGACGAAGAAGAAAAGTCGTGAAGAACACTTTATAATTGACCGATCAGATTTAAGAGGTAGGCAAAGAGCGTTCAATGAAAGATTGTTCAATTATAAAGTCGACAGAAGTGTTACCAAGGCCACCTCGGTACCCAGGTACTGGTCAGTGCATTGGAATGAATCAACTTGGGCGGGAGGTACAGATGTACCTGCGTACATACCTGAACATATATGGTCAAATTGTCCAACATAATTTCAATCCGACAGTTGTTGGGCTGCTTTGGTCAGATGGTTATGACGGCCACCTTTAACCACAAGGTGGCGGGTTCGAATCCCATTGTGTGCGCTACTTCCAATTTGGAAGCTGTCGGTCGTGGCTGGATAACCTGTTTGTGAGTTTGGTCTATACGTAGTCCTGTTTGTCCAGCGACCTTCCAGCCACGACTCGAGGATTCTGGGGGTCTGAGGGATCTGGGGGTCTGAGGGATCTGGGGGCTGATTTTTTTATGTTTTTTTTGTTACTTCCTTAATTTACAACCAATTACCAACAGCACTCTCGTATCTTTTTTTCATCGTATCTTTTTTTCATCGTATCTTTTTTTCATCGTATCTTTTTTTCATCTCTTTAGTTCATTGGTTATTACATTCTTTCCTTTCGACCTTGCTTCGCATAGGAGGGAGAAGCAATCATGTCCCCGGGCCTCTGAATATGGATCCAACTGTTGTGGTATGATGTTGCTCAGTATGCAAGATAGTTTAGCACTACTTTCATACTTATATCGCGACCTAGACTTCATCAGGATGTCTACATCTGGTAGATCATAGGTGCCTCTGACATATGCAATCAAGTATTAGGCTCATTTCTCTCTCGGCACGTCATCATCGTAAAAAACATAACATGATTGGTGACAAGAGCAACCCTATGTATTATAAACCTATGCGTCCTTGGAGTTTGGCTATGGTATGAAGCATCGACAGGTGTCCTGCTGATGGACAGAGAAAGACAAGAAGGAGGGAGACCTTCAATATACCGAAGCTCTGGATCTGAGCGTCCCGC